GGGGGGGGGGGGCGTGGAAGGCGTCCGGTGTATGCTCACAAGTAACAGACCACAAAAGAAAGTGAACACAAGTAAAGCAAAAGTTCTAAAACCCTTTTGCAATTTCGAGCTAATGAAAGAAGCAATAGATTGTGATAGAGGAAATTATAGTTAGCTAAAAAACATTTCAAAAACGATTTCATATAGATATTGAATAGCTGGATGGAGTGCGAAAAATATGGCTGAAAACTGAAATGAAATAAAATAGCGACTGGTTGACATTATACAATTTAGTTAGTGGATAAATCGGAATCATTTCACTCGTTGCAAGCAAATCAAACTGGAGAGATTCTTAGATGCCATTCTGATGTTGCTGATCAAGGCAAATGCTATTTTAATTAATGAAAGTCTTTGCGATTTGGGAGAAGCGTCACGAGCAAAATTAAGTGTTGAGATCAATTAATTAATTAATCTTTAAATATAATTTTCGGGTTTCAAATTTATCTTTAGCCTTTTATACCTACTTCTATGGACTATTCCAGTTGCACAGCTTGTGAATTTTATCTGGCTTGTGGAAGCCCCTAAGAGTTCATAGCTCTTAGATAATGAAATTCATTAATTTAAATTTGTCTACATAATACAAGAAAAGATACAATAACAAAAAGAACCAATAACTTTCGGAAAAGAACTTAGACATTGTTTCTTTAACCCATTGCAGATCTGAAATCAGTATATTTCAGTATATTGGCAAATAAATATAAATATTATTTGCATTTTCAAACAAGTAAAAACGTTGAAGTTGGGCGTTACCAATTGCAGAATACTCCTCCACATCCCAACAGCAATTTAGTAGCTAACGGTAACCTACTGCAATATTTGGATGTTTATGCTCAAAAAATGAGGCGTCATAATTATTTTTGGGTCATCGATAGAGGAGGTTACTAGTAACTCAACTATCCAAATTTAAAGCTTCTAGCTCTTAAACTGTATGAGATATAAGCTTTTGCGGCTTGCTACTCCCCCTTCGGGCGGACATATATCCGCCAAAGCTTGTTGACTTGGTTGGTCAGTACTAATCTACTTTCCAAATTTCAAACTAATATGATTTCTGGCATATTGGAAAATGCATATTCGCTCCTAATTAGCGTACACAAATTTTATACTCATTCAGGTTTACATTCAATTTTTCTCACGATTACTATTACTAAGGCCTTGGGTTATATTGAGACCATCTATTTTATACAGGTTTCAATCCATATCAATGACAATTCTGTAGAAGCCCTCGACTTGCAACAAGTTAAGCCCTAGCAAATCTTTATACACGTGCTAATTGACAGAGCAACCAACTGCTCAACCATCAGGCCAGCCACCCGCCTGAGCCTAGCCCCTATTTCTTTCATTTCATTAGATTGCGTCAGGACCTTGGGTTGCTGCGAAATTGAAAATGTAACACAGCATTGCCACTTGAACGGAACTCGAGCGCGCGACATGAATCCCGCATCCACTCCCACAACCACGCCTACTCCTCCCACTACCACCACCTCGCCCTCCTCGCCCGTGCCTATGTACTGTGCGGCTCCTGGCAATTTAAGCCAAATTCCTGCTGACAGGCGACAGCCCAGGCTCAGTGCACAACAAAGGGGATAAAGCTTTGACATCTGGCAAGGTCAAAGGGCGTGGATGCTGCCACACAATGTTGCGACATGTTGCAGGGCTTGGCTCATTAGCGGGCAGCTTTGCCATCGATTGCGTGTTTTCCAGCATGCAGGGCATATGCTCTTGCACCATCAACATGTGGCATGCAACCATAGGGGGCACGTTGCCGCCCATTGACATGCCACTGCAATGAGTCATCCGATACGAGGCACGCGCCTTGCAGTCGACTTCAATTAGAATCAAAGCAAAAATACTTCTGATGCCTTCATTTGTGCGCGCCGTCTATACGCAATTTGTCCTTAACCGATTCCGTATGCACGCGAAACGCCCGAGTGAGCAGTGGACTTCATTAAACGTAGGCGGCAGCTGCTTAGCTGGGCGAATGATTGCTAAAAGACTCTTCAATCTTTTAATAGCATTTACTTTAATCACACATAATGTATGTTAGGTTATCAAATTTATTTTTCTACCTGGAGATTGATAAAAATTGTGCCACATTGTTAATTCTATATAAAGTAAAGCAAGCAAAACTCATGATTATAAAGTGAATAGGATATGGAATATCTGTGCACATCTAAAATATTTAGTTTACATTAAGAGAGACACTGAATAAGGCAGAGCTGAAGAAACAAGCTAGAAAGCGCTCTGGAAACAGTCTAAAACTTTTGAAATAATTTAAAAAATAAAGTAAAAATTTCCGTCCCAACTTGACCCCGACGTGATTTGAACACGCAACCTTCTGATCTGGAGTCAGACGCGCTACCGTTGCGCCACGGAGTCACATGTTGTGATCCGGCGCTAAATATGCATTTCAGTCTGAGACGTGTCTGACGTTAGAAAACCAATTTTATTGATTTATTGACAAACACATGTGCTGCACTTACAATCGGAATAAAATAAATTTTAAAATTGAAGCATGATATAGGAAACAAAGTAATTGTTCGACATTTTAGAGAAAAACAAAAACTACAAATAATAAAAATAATCAAAAAATGAAGTACAACTAAATAAACACAACATCGAATTGCTGTCAAGAAAAAGCACATATACATACATACATACATATATATTGAATATTCAAGTCGTGAAGCTTTAAAGCTCTTTTAGAATATAATGGTTGGAGTACATCTATATCAGTTTACATTTGTACCAACCGAAAAAAGACAAGCTCATATTATATTATATATTTATATAACATGAAAATTTTGTTATATTGTTATAGGTATATATAAAAAAAGATTTTTTTGCCTGCATATAGTCAATTAAGTATGTATATAGAATTGTATGTATAGAGCTCTAGGTAAGATAATAATTCATATTATACATTTTGCCTAAATGATGCTCATATAAAACGCTGTGCTACCAAAAAATATTTTCTATATGCAACATAGGAGAGAAAACATTTTATAGATAAGTTCCCCATCTCAGATCCAAAGTAGCCTTCAATTTTAGTGTGCTGAATTTACTGGGCTTATTTCTTATCAGATGTCTGCCAGAGACACTCCCACGACTTCATTCTCTCGTGCACTTGGCCCTGAAAAACTTGCAACTGGCAACGGGGAATTGGGGAAAACTGTGGGGAAAACCTGAAAAGCAAATGGGGAAACGGAAAATAACCAAACGCCATGCCAGCTCATGCAGCATGCGGATGACGATATTTAAGGGGGCTGTGGCCGTCGTGGGCGAACGTAGTGACTAACAACAACAGACGAGCATCGATTTAACAAAAAACTTACTTTTATAGCAGCAACAAAAACAAATAGCAAAAATATTTGTTGCTGCGGATAATTACAATAAAATGTGTATATTGCCGAAGGCAATGTATAGCTTTAACAGACAGGTGTGTGTGTATGTGTGTGTGCAGGCTGCCTCTCTTTGACGGGTCTATTTGCCACAGGATTAAGCCAATTAAGGGATAATTTATGGCGTGTATTTAAATGCTGACTCATCGTGCTTTAAATACGAAAGAAATGAATGACAGAAATTGCATTGCCAGAGAAACAACCAAACTGAGATGACTTCAATTCGTCATAGTCATTCTAGTTCGAGACAAGCATCTTTTATATACTTACTTACCTGTATGTTATATTCAGCGTATATCCAGCGGTAATTAATTGTAGCAACAAGTTTGCTCTAGACATTTCAACTCAATAGATTCACTTTCTCATTATTTTCCACGTCGTTTGATAGTAAAAATAAATATAGTTTCAATATATAATGTTAATTATTGTTAATTATTTTCCACGTCGTTTAATAGTAAAAATAAATATAGTTTCAATATATAATGTTTAGAAGATGTCTACAGATTTAGTCCCAAAATTGAGGTGAATAAAGTCTTTCCATTTTCTTTGGAATTGCATCCAATTAATCCGACTTTTATTGACGTATGTATATATGTAATTGTATGATTACAATAGATCTTTTAGCCTTTAAGGGAGCAAACTTGAAATTTTCAAGAAAAACAAATATTAAGGTGTCGGCTACACTAATCTATTATATTTATCGACTCGCTACCTGCAATATTTTTACAGTTAAGCTCAGGGCTCAGCAGAGACTTCAAGTCTCTACCTTTATTGGCATATATTAGACGGATATACTATTAGAGAAATGCCATATCTTAATTTGATTCAGTTCACAATAAATAACAAATAATAAGCTAGTGTCTTGAATGGAAACCGGTTTCGGCCTTGGCAATAACTGGCAGGAACTATCGAATACTATTTATGGAGCTACAACAAAGTCATAGGAGAGTTAATCAAATGAAAAGCTAATATATGGACTAACGTTTGAGAGCCATGCGGCGATATCGTATGCCTGGCCGTACTCAAGCTGCGGTTTGCGTGCCTAAAGGGTATTTAACTTAAGTATGACAGAGCTAAGGATCTAAGTTAAGTTGTTGATTGCTTGAAATGCATTTGATTTGCACAAAATTGATTTGAATTCCGTGTCTGTATTGCAGGGTTCACGGGGATCGGTGTACTGCGCGAGTGAACCGGACCCAGCTGGTCGAGTCCAGTACGAGTCGGGAGGGCTCGTTCTCAACGACACGGCGGGGCAATGCGTCGCCGGCGATGCTGGCTGCGGCGCTGCCGGCCAGGCCACAAGCGGATCCTTGTTCTCGGTTGTGTCAGCGCCACCTGCACCGCTGCCCACTGTGTCCCTGGCCCAGCTGGACGTCAAGCAAATCGAGGCGCTGTGCGTGCCGTCGCCCTCGCCATGCGCCTCGCCCGCGCTGCGGCCCGCCACGCTCAGCTTGGATGCGCCCTGCTGTCCGCGCACGCTGCACGCCAGCCTGCTGGAGCACCAGATCTCCGAGCTGGAAGAGGACGACAACGAGAACCTGTTGACTGTGTCCAGCATAACGGCTCGTCCGTTGATAGCCAAATCGCACGAGTTGCGCAGCAGCCGCAAGCAGCAGCTGTCCTCGGGCACGGCTCGCAGCAAATGCCTGAAGCGCGCGAAGGAGCTGGAGCGACCGTCCGCTCGTCGCAGCAGGCAGCTGGGTAAGGACCGCGACTCATCTACCAGCACTACGGAGAGCGGCGGTGGCTGTGCTGCGGAGCCACCGGACGGCGGCTATGGTTGGTTCATTGTCTTCGGCGCCTTCTCCGTGCAGTTCTGGGTCGCCGGACTGGTCAAGTCATATGGCGTGCTCTATGTAGAGATCATGGAGACCTTTCCCAGCTCCACGGCCACTGTGGCCTCCTGGATACCAGCCATCCTCTCTGCGCTCTGTCTCGTGCTCGCGCCACTCTCGAGCGCGCTCTGCCAGCGCTTCTCCTGCCGCTCCGTTGTGTTTGTGGGCGGCATCTTTTGCTCTCTGGGCATGGTGCTCAGCTATTTCGCCACCAGCCTGCTGCACCTGCTCCTCACCTTTGGGATTCTTACAGGTGAGCGAATAGCCTTTTAATCTACAAATTTGCTTGCCTTCCTACGTTACCTATTACCCTTACTCTTTGAAATCTTAACTACTTGACTACACCGACTAATGATTAGTCCAGAGATTAGATTTAGTTGATCTAGATTATCGAACAGAATCTTATCCCACATACGATTCTTATAGGATACATATTCACACTATATATTTGAGCGAAAATCGTCAGTGCGGCTATATAATCGAGACTTCAAGTTAAATAATCTGTAGTTTCTTGAGATATAGTAATTATCAACAATTACTTATCCATCCAATTACTTAAGCAATTAAACTCGATTGATACAATTGCCTAACTAATCTTATTACTCTAGTTGAACTTGATAGATGCAATTACTTAAGTAATAAGTTTACATCGTATGTACATATATACATATATTACTTGAGTTATTAAATGCATTTAATTAAATAATTAAGCTGTTTAAATATGGAATAATTTCGAATACATCCCATTACTTGAGTAATTAAAGTAGATTACTTCAGTAATTTAGATTTTCAGATAGATATAATTAGATAGGTATCAAAGTAACTCTTCCATCCAATTCTAAATACTTAAACAAGCAAATATGAGAATGCTTTATGCATTTCAAGTAATTATATTGATTAATCTACAATAATTATCTATTACAATTACCGAGGTAATTAAGAAAGTTAGTAATTAACATGCCTTCTAGGAATTGGTGGTGGTCTATCGACGACCCCTGGCATTGTGATTGTCTCGCAATACTTTGACAAGCATCGCGCCCTGGCAAACGGGATCTGTGTGTCGGGCACGGCGGCGGGCAGCTTCGTGCTGCCCATATTGATAAAGCATCTGGCGGAGAGCTGCGGATTCCATGGCACGATACTCATACTGGGCGGCTGCATGCTGCACGTGTGTGTGTCGGCGACTCTGTACCGACCACTGAGCGACTATGCCGAGCAGGCGCAGGTGCAGGCGCAGGATGCGGCTGACAAGCCCAACAATGATGACATCAACCCCAGCACTACGGGCATGCTGACGACATCCACGTACTTGGGAACCTGTGAGGTGGGCGCCGATGAGCTCAACGACAAGTTCATAGAGCATTTGTTCCTCGAGGAGTGTAAGAATCACCTGAACTACTATGCCAGCAAGCAGTCAGGTGAGTTACTGCGCATGGGCCAAAGCAATTCATGATGCAATTGTCCATTGCTCGACAGCTCAAGACAAGTCGGCGCAGGAGAGCGATGACGAGGTGAAGGACATCATTGGCGAAACCACCTTTATAAAGCCCATGAAAAAGGTGCGCAGCTCCGGCCTGCTGCACTCCGTGGAGGATCTGAGCACAGACTCCACTTGGGTCTATCGCAAACACTCAGGCACCGACTCGAATCGCGGCAGTCGGCGACGTCGCAACGTCTTTGCCAATGACGAGACCATCAGCAAGATCCATGCCCATCTCGAGAAGCCGCTTTCCCCACCGAGCGTGGTCAGCCGGGGTCTCAGCAAAAGCATGGAAATACCCACGCCCGTGAGTAACCTCAGCGAGCTGAAGCAACAGCCATCGGATGGCAGCATTCTGGACTCCCAGCTCCTGGAGTCCGCGGTCGTCTTTGACGACGACGACGATGACAATGACGCCATTGACGATGATGACGACGACGGGCGCCAGTTGAAGCGCAGCTGCTGCGCACGCATTGAGATGTACCTGGACATCAGTCTGCTGCAGGAGCCTCGATTCATACTGATGTGCCTATCCGTAACACTCATGTCTGTCGGCTGCCCCTACATGCTCTACTATCTTCCCGCGCATGTCATATCTATCGGTGGGTCAATCCCTCTGCTCTTCAAGCTATCTTCATTCGTAAATCATATATGAGTTGTAGTAGAACCGAATCGCATTTTAAGGCTAAGAATAATCCTAGACAAATATAGAATAATGAATAAATCAATTGTGCGGAAGTCAGGGTAATAATCTGATGTCTCTTAAATTCGATATAGATAATTTTAGTGATAAAAACATACATATCTGTCTCTTAAATTCGATATAGATAATTTTAGTGATAAAAACATACATATCTGTATATGGATATGTGATGATTTTGAGAGCCGATAACTTTTACAAAATCAGAGTCCATCTCAAATATTCTACAACACTATGAAAGGTTTCAGTAAACGCAAATATTTCGAAATATCTATTCATTTGTGTAGCCATCAAGTTTCCATCCCTCAGACCTAATATATTAGCTCACATTAAAAATACCTTGACTACCATATTTCATATCTAGCTATCAACATTTTTTTCCATTTTTTGATTCAATATAGGTACTAAAAACACAAAAGTCTAGAAGTATTTGTTTTCATTGAACTTCATAATGAATTATTATTTATATAAACTCTACTTCTTTCTATAGGCTACAATAAAAGCGAAGCGGGGTATTTAGTGGCCATCAGCGCTGTGCTGGATCTGTGTGGACGCCTGGGCTTGGGCTGGCTATCGGATCTGCAGCTCTTTGATCGTAAGAAGACCTATACACTATGGTAAGTCTGCTAAGGTAAAAAAAAAACAAGTATACCTATTGGATCTTGATTTTGAAGAATATGATTTTTTATATTATCTATCTGTTATAATATCTGTCCTATCCAATTAGCAGAATCATTTAATCATACCCTGAACCCATTGACCATGGGAAATCAGGGTATAATGGTTGTGTGTAAAGTATCTATCGGGCAGAAATGATATACAGTATTTACTTAAATCTAATATTTATATTGCCGAACTAACTTTCACATTTCTTTTCTAGTATCCTGGGTGCTGGCCTGGCTGTTCTGACAATACCCTTTGCCAAGACCCTGGTACTGGTGGGTCTATCCGCGGCAGTCTACGGACTATGCCTGGGCAGCTGGTATGTGCTGATGCCCGTGCTGCTGGCGGATGTGTTTGGGACGGATCGCATTAGCTCCAGCTACGGCTTGGTGCGCATGTTTCAGAGCATAGGGGCCATATCAGTGCCGCCGTTGGCGGGTCTGCTGAGGGATCTCTCCGGGGACTATGAGATCTGTTTCTATTGCATGGGCTCCTGCATGGCCTTGGGCTGTACGCCCCTCGTGGTATGGTCTATACTGGAGGCACGCAATCATCGGCTGTTCGTGCAACACGAGGAGGACGAATGCGAGGAGGCCTAAGGCAAAGACTTCATTCAGTTTGTTGATTAGCAGAGTTATACAAAAATATTTGTTTGTTGTTCGTGTTTTTAGTAGCCGTTACAGTTACATCAGAATATATTTTCCATACCAGTACAAATACAAGCATATAGGAAGAGAAACCCAAAAGATAATGATACACAATCGGAGTTCGAATGCCTCACCGATATTGTTGATACTCTTACTGATACTCCCATACGAGGAAACAAATGCAACATTTACTTTACTCAGCGTTCACACACTTTCCATCCATTGCAGGCAGCACTCAAATGCATTCTTATAGTATATCATCTGCCTGTTTATCCTATCTGCAACAGTTGTGTATTCAACAATGTTATCCCAAAAGCATGATAAGCACCGAAAGTTGCGCAAAGAACTGAGTTAAAAAGACATGAACACCAAAAAATGAGAAACATAATTAATACCTATATATGTATATATGAATCAATATATAGTAATTATAATATTCAATAAATGTATTGTCTGTATTTGAATGCCCGAAATACACGATATCTAACTATATTTAGCTGTAGGTTTACACAATGAACATCGTCGACATCATCAAACAATTTCCATTTGGTACCTTTCGGTTTTCGTGAAACTGAGAAGTGCGGAGAGAGGCTATTAATTTATAAATGTTGTACAACTGTACCATCTAGTTCTTGGGGCATCCTACAGCATTACATTAACGTAGCTGTACAATAGCTGTTGTGAGAAATTTACGTAACAAAAAATAAATAAAGTATCAAATTCAAGGTTTGAATTATTCTATTTTTATTGATATTGAAATGGCAATTACATTTACGTAATATAACATAAAAATGTGCTAGTATTGATTAGTTATTATTTGGAACTGCCAGATCATTACCAGAAGAACTATCCACAATGGCACGAGGAATATGATGGCTTTCCTTTTCGCTCCGCATAGCGTGTGTCTTTAAAATTCTTCTCTAATATCTTATATCCCGTGTTAGACCATTTACACTACTTTAATCTCAGAATTCAGCCGTCACATCTTCCGGGAGAGTTTTGCATAATGATTAACGTTAATTAATTTTGAAACATTTTATAGCACTTGAGGATTTGTTCAAGTTTTTCCAAAAGACTTTCTTATGTTGTTTATGCAATCGGCAAATTCCTAACGATTTCCTCACTTATATGTGTGTGAAACCTGTGAAACAGGTTGTTCTATGTTTCACAAAAATTATTTCATTTGAATTGTAGCTGCCAAAAGTGCCAATACCCAAAAATACATTAATTATGCAGTCTCAAAAATTTGAAGATACGTGAATCGAATTCGATGTCGACTCTTAACAATGACCATAATTATTCGTAGCCGTAATGTAAGTCATGGTCATAGATACAATTTACAGTTAGACGTGCATCAATTTATAGATCGAAGACCTAGGTAAAGTATGATTGAATTTAATATCGAGCACTCCAGAATTTTATAAGCAAACCCAAATATCAACATATTTTATTTATTTTATATCGAGTAATCGCAATGTTTTATACCGACAATTGTTGCTGCTGCGTTGAGCTAAAATGCGGCTGCATATTGATTGCAATATTCGATGTGATATTACGCGGCATAGATCGATTTCTTCTGGATGGTAAGTGAATGGACGATTGTCCTTATTCAGATCATTCATTGAGATATATTCGTACACTCAGGCAACTCTCTGATGGGCAACATTGCATTGGTCGTCAGCGGGATATATCTTATCTCCTGTATAATTCTCCTGATTGGAGCTCTCCTAGTGGGTATCCCCTTACAGTTACTGCCTATCATATTATTGGTATTTAAAACTACAGGGTATACGTTACCTCCTCTTGCCTTATATATTCGTTGTCATGGTACATGTCATCATCCTGATATGGGAATGCGGTTATGTCATTATGATGGACGACTTCTACGACTTTATAATATTTGACATTATTCAAGCAGGTAAGCAGACGATATACATTTTATTTTCATAGAGGAATAAATGTTTTTACTTTTACTTTTTCATTTTGCCTCTAGTGGTCAGCTTGTACTTTTGCCTAGTGGTCTACTCCTATTACGATACTATATAAATTCGTATATAGCGCGTATATAGGTTGCATGTTTTATTTGGAAATATAGCCAAATGATAACTTATCTTATTTACTCTAATTTTTTATCTAAACTGGACAGTATAATCTGATGTTACAGATTAGTCACAGATATTCAATCAGTTGATCTGAGCTTGTATATATACGCAGTTATGTTTTCATTGTAGCAGATACAATCAAGGGATTTCAGAATTTCGGTTTGATAAGGTAAATGTTTATGCATAAAGCAAACAAATATGTTTTAGAGGACTCTAGATAATTCTGAAATGAATCGGAATCTTGATAATTTAACAATAAAATAATATCCTGATTTTATAGAAACATATAAAAACATAAGATTTGAAGCCTGCACGAATGTCTATGGTAGAGCAATCTTTATAGTATACGAATATACATATATAAAAGACTAGTATTATCTGAACTAAAAATCTGAAAAGTTGTCTAGTATTAATTCTATATAATGAGGAAATATCGGTATCAGTATTTTGAATATTATATATCGTTTAATATCAAGAAACTCAACTTGAGCGTTGCAATCATGTATAAATAGTATTTACATATGTGTGTGTATATGACTCTTTGGACAGTACGTAGTCTTTAGGATCCTTAGAACTGCTCCAGTGTGCGCGGTGCTGGAGGTGCACCGTACTCATCGGCTGGCACGGCGGCAACGGCAGGTGGTCCGTATTGGGGGGCTGGCTTTGGCTGCTGTTTGTACTTGATGAAGTACACCTCGGGCTTGCTGGGCTCCGTGGGGGCGGGCGACGGCAGGATGACTGGCAGCTGCTCTTCGGGCTTCTTGACCAGCACATAGACCAAGGTTTTGTGTTCATCTTGCACCGGCGGAGGCAGCACCTGGCGCACTGGCGTTGGTGGATTCGGTGCCTTGATGAAGATGATCTTGTAGTGCTTCTTGGGCACCGAAGTCTGGATCGGCGACGCGGCGGGATACAGTTCCGGCTCCTCGGGTGGAACATGCACATAAACGTTCTTGGTGACGATCGCCTCGGCTGTGGGCGCAGCCGGCGGACCGTAGAAAGCAGCCGGTGGACCATAGACGGGCAGCGGTTGGGCCGGTTGTGGTGGTCCGTATTCCTTTTGTGGTGCCGGCGGGGGCGGTGCACCATATCTTGGCCTGGGTGGTTCCGGCCGTGCCACCACGATGGCCACATTGGCCACCAGGACTATAAGTAGCGCCACTTGCGTTTTCATTGTTGGATCAGCTCGTCGTTGGCTCACACCTGAATGATTCGAATCGGTCCCACTGCCGGGGCATTTTATATGAGCGGGCCGCCACAATTTTGATTTTGATCGTGTTTGTATAACCCCCTTGCAGCCCTTTGCATAATATTTCTGATTGCCTCCCAGTGCAATCGTTACGGAGGCGTTGCCGCCGTCATCGCCGACGCTCACTTTGCATACAAATGAGCCCGAATTGTTTAGCGCGTTTTGTACACAATTTCGTTTTCGATATTTCAATACTGAAAACGAAATTGCAAGCACAAACAGTAGCTGACCGCCCCTCAGCGACTGTTGACTGTTGTTGAGCCGGGCACGTTCTCTGCCTTTCCTGGACTTCCCGGCCTTATTTTTTTATTATTTGTTTTTTTTTTCGCCGTTATTTGCCAAAAACAATTAAGAAAAAAAAACTCGATTGCGTTACATACGACAGTTATTTATGACATAACACCTATATGGGTAATGCTCGAAACTACCGTTGCTAGGCCATGAACGGTCATTGGAACCGATTTTCAGACGGTTTGACGTTATGTAGATCTTTCCAAAACTTTGTAATCATTAAAAAAGCTAAGTCGGGTATAATGCTTCAAGGGAATGCCTGCAACATGCCTCCAAGAAGCTTCCGATCCTTAAAGGATAATGTTGTTAATAGACAACAGCAGCTTAGAAAAGCTACCCTGAGCCCCAGTTCACTCTCTGTCTTTCCCTCTCTAATAGGCATATCCATATAAGACTCGCATTAATGAATATATTTCTAATTCAATTTAAATAAATTTCTTCTTTAAATATCTTGGGGAATAATTCGAATGTTTTTGGCATTGCTCATTATAAAAGCAACTAACCCAACCCAATGCATTGATAATCACATTGTTTCATTTTTTATATGAAAAAAAAAAAAAAAAAAAAAAAAAAAAAAAAAAGAA